ATTAAATATTAATGTATTTAAATTTATGCATGAATTGGCAATGCAGAATTATATACAAAATTAAAATGTAAATTGCTGTTAAATATTAATTAAAATATTTAGTATAATGAGCCTTCTGTAGATACAAAAGTTTTAAGTGCACGAGATAGAGCAGCTTTGAAATTCCTTTTATATAAAATTTCGAGTAAAGTATTATTCTTGAAAAGTACGTCATTGTGAACCTAAAACACAGATGGAAAGGATGCTTTCATTAATTTTGTTTCTAATCATCATATATCTTAATATCACAATATTGATTAAAACAAAAAATACTGGTAATATCAAAATTATATTGCGATTCCATTATATTTATGATAACGAAAAATGTGAAAATAGAAAAAACCTATTCCATATACTATAAAGAAATCTGTACTTTGAGAATTTTAAATATTCAGCGGAATCTGAAGCAACATTTTCCAAGCTTTAGATACGTTACCCATGCATGCATGTTAGAAGAGCATTTTGAATAAAAAGATGAGTTCTGTGAAATTATTTGAGTCTTACAACCCTGTGGCGATGTGCACATGACGAATTTATTAAAATGTATTTTATATAATGCTTTGATTTTATTGCAATTATTTATTTATTTGTTGTTCATAATAAATTAAATTAAATGTAAAAGTTGATACATTATAGCGTTATAAGATAAAAACTAGAAAAACATTCTCCTTCGAACCGTCTCGACCCCGTACGAGTAAATTTTTGCGTGTTACACACTAATAAACAGAATGCACATATAGGACCTTTATATGGTTTTAATTGAAGAAAAGCGTGAATATCAACCATTTTTTATTAGTTTATTGCAGCTTAAGTTTTTATATGTCTTCATTACACATAATCCTTAGATTTGTTGGAAGTAAATCCATAGCACCACCTTAGAGTCTTCAATTCTATTTATTCAAGTTGAAATCTTAGACCTAGTGCTAGAACTGAAATGTCAAAGAAACTATTATTATAGTATTTATGCTAAATTAAATTTATGATCATTTCTTAACACTATACAATACTTTTGTCTTAGTAAAATAATAATGGAAGAAGTAATTCGTACGACTTACGCTGTGCTCTTCACTCCAATAAAAGGAAAGTTGGATGATAATAGACCACAATCAACCAGTTAAGCTTACTTGAGTAACACAATGTTAAGTACTTAATTTCTTGAAGAGAAGTATCTCTCAGATTTTAAAGTATTAGAGTTTGGAAGAAAACTTCAGGAAAGAGGTCATACCAAATCCTGTACTTACACCTTCCTCGGATACCGAATACCATAAAAAAAACGACATACGTTCAGTTTTACACTGAAAAATATCCGTATGACGTGGTTGACATCGACTCTTACGGCATAGTGTGTTGCAGTAAAAACTCAGAATGACACTATTTTAAATAGTTTTCATTTTCAATATATTTGTATATATAGATAAAAATCTTCAGAGAACTCACAACCCTATAGAAAAGTAAAAGTTGCTGATCATATGTAAGGTTTGATTGTTGAGGTATCTATATCTTGAATCACATACATTATAATGTTTAGGCTTATTTCAACGATCGTTTAATTTCCGACTCTGTACACCTGAAATATACTTATTATTATTGTAAACAGAATTACGTTCTTAAATGTCAGAAAACAGATAAAAGCTGTTTGGGTCAGATTTAATCAGCGTGGAAATTAATTATAAATCGTAAAATAAGATTTCTGAGAAATCATATTCTTTCTTAAAAGGTACTCTTCAAAATCAAAATATTTGATGGAAATGTCCCAAAGGACGGCAGATTCCGTGAAAAATAACCCTTTAAAAAAAAGTCTCCTACTAAATGGAGCTCGTCGTCGTTAGCTGAAATTCCTAGCTTTGATATGAAGTACTCATTATTTTAAGAGTTGTTACTTTAATTAAAATTCGTAACATTGACGACGTCGACAGCCATCGAAAGCGGATTTCTGTTAGTCGACAAAATAAGTCTTAAGTCTTTACTGCTTTGACATAAATGCTCAAAACTTTTGACATTTCAGAAGTTACAGGGGAATGTTATGTTAGGAATTCGAACGGAACACATTATTTTGTTTGAAATAAATGACATTAAAGTTTAACCTTTACGCATTATTTAAATCAATTTAATTTTTTAACAATTTCGAAGAATCAGTTTTAATATATTAATTAAATGTGATGTAACTTCAAAATGCATATTCTGTTCCGTCTGTGAACCGTATGATTGTATTATCCTCTGGCTTGCTCTGTTGACTTCATGTGAAATTTCAGGACGACCGGATGTTCAGTTGATTCGTGTTGACACTGAACACGATTTAATGTGTACTAATAAATAACTACTGTCATACAAAAAAACCTCCCAAATAATTATAATGGAATTAAAGTTGGTAACGCAATTGGTACAATAGTTTATCGTAACTCCATGAATTAAATGATAATGTATTTAGAATTTTTGTCGATTGTTCTAATTCTTATTTGAAATATATAAAATTAATTTAATGGGTTATATTGCTACTTGGTTAATAAAAAGTACAGGGATACAGAGATACACGTAAAGTGAATAAAAAAATAGAAAAAAGTCAATACAAACAAGGATTGTGCATTCATGACTGATTAATGAAGTATTTGTATCCGTTAAAAAATTTTTGAGGTATTTTACTCAGATTATCGCATCGGCGGTGTTCAAGTGTTCCCCCCTCTGGAGGTTACTAGCCTTAACGACTATAAGAAATTATTTTGATTGATGATCGCGACGAAGATAGCACGGACTAGTAATAAAGACAGAAGTATTATTTATGTCATATACACAAAAACAAATATTTAAAAACAAAGAAAACATATTTTTCATTAAAATCCCTCAGGTTAAAAAATTTGGAGTTAATCGGATTTCTCTATTAAAAGTGAAACATTTTTAGATGCAAAATGTTCAAAGTATTTTAATTTTCATCTGCTTAAGATATATAAATGATCGTTACCAAAAAAGATAGAATAATCCACTTTAACAGAATACAGCAAACAATTGAAACACTTCACAAATATTTGCAATAGAGGTCGTTCGAGCCTCTATAATTGACTTAAAATATTTACGTAAAATTGTTGCGAAGACTGAAACTGGCTTTGTTTCAACCACCAAAAAATATTTAAAACAAGAGCTATAGATTAAAATAAAATAAAAAAGCTTTGAACAATTTATGTTTCATTTTTCTAACAGCCGTATGACAGTAACTAGAAAAATTGTCGATATGCCATATACTATGAAATCTATTATTATGATTAAAGAATAGAATAGTTAAAGAATGTCGCAATCAGCGCGTTTTAATTAAAACTTTTTTAAAACGCAATCCAATCACAGAAGAGATCGTTCGGAGCGGTGTGAAAAAACAAGAAATCTTCTTTTTAAGGTCCCTAGAAAATGTAATGTTCGTTCTATTATGAACCCGAAAAGATAAAACATACGAATATATAGATTGATGATATCTGTTTCAAAGAAATTAAAAAAAGGATTAAAAATTATATGAATAATATTCATAAACATAGTGTTTATTTAAAATACTTTCTTCATTATTGGAATTTTAAAGATAACAATATTCAAAACTTCTATTCTGATTCCCTTTTATTGTTTTAAAATGTTTAATGTTTATACACGAATTTTTTATATCCTTTCACTTTGCTCTACTAAAAAATGGTTTTGTCTGGCAGTTATAAGGTTCACCGTAGACCACAAAAAATAGTTAAATTACTTAAAAGTCCTTGAGTGTTCAATAATAACTATATATTCCTTGTAAAAAAATATTTTCTTTATTTGTTTTACGTATTATGATCGATGTTTTTATAAACAATTGTAATCGTTGAGCTCGAGGTTGTGATTTCATAATAAAAGACAAATAAGTTATATATCCGGGTTCGGTGACGATTATAGCCAGATGACGTCACGTAAATACTATTAGGAGATAAAAGTTAATTGACACGCTTTTCTTACATCTTATTTGCTCTCATCATATGACTATCAAATGGAGAAGCTTGGAGGGAAATAGAAATGAAAGATATTGAAATTGGTCAGTAAGAAAAGGATATGAGAATATATTGTATTACTTTTGGACAGTTTCATAATATTCAAATATGTATTGATAGTCGATACATCTCTTAATATGTATTAGGACTGAACTAGCCATGTGTATATTTAAGTCATGTTTATTTTTCTTTTCGAGGGTTATTTCGATTCTGCGAGTTCCAAAAATCTTTTAACATTTCCGTTTTAAATTTGCAAACCTCAAAGGTTGTACAAACACTTCTCGGACATGTATGTCAGCGGTCTGCAAACTACAGATAAAAAAAGCGATGTTACGATTGTACGGGCTCGGATAAATGAAAAGCCCGGCGCGGAAAATGAAATGTGGATTAAGGAATTACGGACGAAACAAAAATCCCTCTAGCAATTTTAATCCGAGCGAAAAAGCAATTAAAACAGAAACCAGTGACAATCTGACAATTTACATGAGGAAAAAGTTTTTACTAGTAATAAGAGTTACGGTTGAGTGTTGTTTGTTGTATGTAAGAGTTATGACGACTTATGTACAGTATATACATAGTTTTTCTGTTTAATTTATTACTCACCCGAAGATTTAGATTCTAAAACAATATGTAAATAGATATTATTATTATAAGATATTCCATAGTTATCTGAATAATTGAATGTAGTCCATTAGTATCTTCATCCACCAAGACAGACAGAGAAATTATAAAGAATATTATGTTTTAAACTAATATTTTCTAAGCATTGCAAACCGAAACTATTCTTGTAGGAGGTTTTTAATATCTGTAACAGCAAATATCTCTTTAACTTTAACTTCTCTATTTGTTAGTCACTCGCGTTTTGATGCACAAAAACACATTTATTAAGATGATTTCCATTTTTTTACTGGTGATCATTTACGGTAACTATTAATTAATCAATATATAAACCCAAGTCATTAATTTCAGATGGTGCATACCATGATGCCTATAGCTAGGTCGATAGCCCTCGGTATGGCGGCGGCACTCACCCTGGCGTATATGGGACTAGCGATCGGACTCGGCCCGCAAGGAATGGAGGGACAGTTTTATCAACAGGTTTGTTAATGATGTTTTTTATATTTAGTACTATAAAGATAAGATATATAAGCTATTCGTTTATAAGACTAAAGACTTGGTAGTTATAATACAAAATATACGAAAATAAAAAACTGTATTTATGAGAAAAGTTATAGGATTATACTTTTTTATGAGAAAGGTAGCTAACGAGCAGACGGCCTGTCAGTAGTCATTGCGCCAGCGGACATTTGCACCTAAATTGATGTTGCCATTGCGTTACCAACCTTGATTTTTAAGGAAAGAAAAAAGGGTGGGAATAGGGAAAAGTCAACATACATATATGTACTATACAACGAGTAATAAACAACAAAGTGAATCAAAATGGTAATTATATTAAATTTAAACACATTATTGGGAAAAGAAGTAACTCTTATTATAAAATATTACGAAGGCCGTCTTACTAAATTTTAAAGTTAATATAGTCTTTAGTGATAAATCGTACAATTAAATAAAAATGGCTTTTACTAAAATACATATTCATATGTTATGTAATTGGTCAGTGTCAAAATATTGAAATACACGTTGAGTTTGTTTAAGGTCAAGGTCTTGTGCAAGGTTACAATTATGTTAAAGATTAATTTTGGAACGTCTTATCTCTCTTCTTTCATTGAGACAAAAAGATAGATCCTTTACTTTGAACATATAAATAAGTCATATATTTAAATCATATTTTCTAAATTATGTTTTGTAGTATTTTTATTGAAAGAGGTCTGTAATTTATTAATATTTGACTTAAACATGAAATAAATTAAACATTTTATTTTAAAGTATTTCAACTTTTTGTTATAATTATAAACGATATTTAAGTAAACAGAATATAAATCGGTATTAATTAAAAAATCCCTCTTTATAGGCTATCCGTGTTCGATAAGCTTTACGGGCTTTTATAAGATAAAACTCGGTATTATGTTCGACTATATCTCACCTTACCATCATCACGAATAATGATTATAAGGAAATGAGATGTAATCACATCGGAATATTATTTTAGAATAAAAATTCTATAAAATGCATGTTTGAAACATAAACAGAAAACGTTCATAGTACGTCTAAAATTAAATCACTCATTACGATGCTGACGTGAATACGTTCTAAAGTTAACAATAGAATTTATTCTGAGCGCCTGTTCTATCTATAGATACATGATAATATCAACATTGCCGTAAAGTTTCGACAGGCGACGACCTAATGTGATAATAATAACGACGGCTAAACATTTTATTTATAGACAGTGTTTTTAATGTCTTTGGATATAAATTAATAATTTAATAATAAGCTACGGTTCTAACTTGGGATATTTGACATTGAAAACATATTTCATATAAAATGTGGGTAATAATTTCGTAATATGCCTAATATATAATTAAACTCAAGTTTAATTTCTTTGTTACTCAGTTGGTATGTGAACTGGCGTTGTTGCTATCAGCGAGCGGTATTGGTCTGTACTACCGAGCCCTCACTGAACGAGCTCATCGGAATACCTTCGCTGGCACCAGAACATGCTTGGAACAGAGAGTCAAACTAGAGTGTGAGAGGGAACAGCAAGAGAGTCTCCTACTATCAGTCATACCGGCTTACATAGCAGCGGAGGTAAGTATTATTGCAATATTGTTAACGAAACAGTCAAATATTTGGTCATATTGTATTCCAAACAACCCTAACGTAATTGGTTTTATTAAAATATTCTTGAGAAGTATAACGAAATATCGTTGAACAACGAACTTATCCAATTATGACTCTGATTTTTGTTTCCGCAAAAGAAAAATATAAAAATTTACGTTCAAAATTTAAGTCTTAACTTTTTCACCTTATTAAGCTGAAAACCGTTTCTTTCAATTAACCTCTTAGAAGTTTCTATCTAATTCCCGATATATTTTTTACTTGTCGGATCTAAACGAGTATCGGAGAGGGTTTTTCTCAGTACAGCCGGTATTAAAACTTAGAACTGCAGTTCCTATAGTATAATGAGGGAGATGTAAACATCGCTATCGGAAAACTCTAGAGACTGGAAAATTGCTTTTACGCTTTGATTAAAGAAACTTTGATACTTAGAGAATAGAGGCATTTATTTTAATGAAAAGGAATTGTATGAACACAGCCGGTCGGAATGTTATCCACGTCAAATAACGTTATTACAGAGTTCATTGCTCTTGTTTGGGTCATGGTTGTATATAAAAAATTATGATAGGAAAAGCGATATATATATATTGGATAAAGTTTATCAAATTATTATTTGTGTCACTAATTTGACCTTACGCGTTTACTTCCTTTACTAATGTACTAATTAATTTCTGTAACTAATTTGAAGTAGAACTGTTGCCACCGTTTCAGCTATTGCTAATCTTGCTGAAATATATTACGTATTTTGTCTTAATTAGCTTTGATATGTTATTCTAAGTTGTGTCTCTGAAACAATATATTTTATTTAATCTGAAACACTTGGATTAAATATTCCTAACCACCACCACTACCATTTACCATCAGAATTCGAACCCACGACTTGAACCATATTGTTTGCAAAACCTCGTTACTATTAAGCTATCGTGCTTTTACTAATGTGTTAATTTCACTGATTATATTTTCATTCATTTTTATAAGCAATTAAAATCCCAAAGCATAAAACGACAAAATCTCAGTTATATTGATAGTAAACGGAGTTTCATCTTTATCACAGATCACAAAGTTGCTTCAGAAACTACTTTAAGAGGATAATAAAAACAAAATCTGAATACAATGTAGTTTTCAATAAGCTTAAGTGCTTTCATATAAACCGATATTGCTTTAGTCATATAAGAACAAAGTTAACGTGAACACTAAATATTAGAAGCCAATATCGGTTAGAGAGATTCTTAGGATGATTTAATATCGTATGTATTCCTTTTATTCCAATCATATTTTTGTTTGTTGTCTATTACGATTTTCTAAGAAATGTTTTCCAATTATAATTGATAATTGCAATTTGAATGCTGTTTTATCAACAATTTTTACTATGTGTATACCAGAATTTTCTGCGATCGATTCAGGCTTGAATCCTTACTACGGATATAATTTGATAATTAATACTTCAAGTTAATCTATGATATATAATATGGAATAATTCGTAATAAAATCTATTTTTTTAAAATTAAACATTCGGAGGTATTTAATATCTATATGTATATTGTATTGCAATATGTAGTTAAATGCATCATACAATATGTCATGGCGGACTTGTTAACATATGGTTATTTGATTTAAATGTTTAATATTTAAAGGTAAATATTAAATATTATGAATACAAATATATTTTAATGGTGCTATCACCATTAAGAAACTAAGTATGTTTATGGGTTTGTCTCATAATATTTTAACTAATTGTATAGTAATATTTTTTTTATAATTCGAAAACTATAATGTTGTAGTAAGTTAGATTACGAAGTTTTTTTTACATTGACTATATACAAAAAATATATATATTTCGTATTCATTAATAAGGACTTCTAATAAAAGATAGTAATAATAAATGTAATATTTTTCCATATAATATTTGTTATAGTGAAAGTGTAGGGATAACGTTCTACCGATGTCGGTCACCCACATCCAGTGTCAACAATTCAGATAATTTGACGCTCACGTTCATATTAGTGAGACAATTTACTCACATCTCCGAGTTACGACCCGAATATACAATTGTTTATACAAAAAACAGCCTGGGCGAGGCTAAGGGGCATCTTGTGACTGTTATTATAATTTATGACCACACAGCTTTGTTATTAATTTAATGATCGATTAATGACTATGAAAGAAATATTAATATATAATTAACAATTAAAAGACTTTTTGGGAAAAACTAATAAAATTTATTGACTGACTCACATTGAATCTAGGATTAGTTACAGTATTTAGGGACAAATTTATTTAGATTTAATTTAAGTCTCATATATTTTAATGCTGTAATCATTAAAAAAATGAATCATGGAAATGAAAAAGTCGTTTTTAAATAACACCTTTTTGTGAAATTCAATATCAGGGAAAGATTTTAAAATGAAAAAACATTATCCTCAGTGAAAAGTAATGGCGGCGATTTCCTTTTCCAATAATAATAATCCACGGCTCGTTTCCATTACAACTTTGTTCTTATTATTCACGGAAATTGTTTCTACTTGCCTGTCGTTTATTTTGCATTCACATATGTACAAATCATATGGATCTAGTTACACATTTTCTTTAGCTTAACACTGATACATCAGAACTTCAATGTACGTCATGCATGCTGTCTGAAATGTCGTGAGGCATTGGAAACGGAACTAAATTTTCGTGTTCAGAATGTGTAATAGGTTCCCGTTATCGACAAGTTATTTGTAACCTTACATAGCGGACTGACCTACTCCACCGCTCCGACTATGGCATCGAATTCATTGAGAATATCTAGCTGTGATTAGTGTTAATCGTCACCAATAAAAGTTGATATACTGACAGAGGGTAGCAGGATGTTAAATGAAAGCCGGTACGTGATGCCCTTCTGTGAAATAATGATTCATTTATAAAATGTAATCTACAGACATTTGTAGACTTGTCTGTGTAAAGAATTTTGAATGCAATATGACTAAATAAATATTACTGTTCATTCAGAAGGTCAGAAAGATGTTTCAGGTAAATATATTGTTATCGGAGCTATGTAGAGGTCTTTTTAATTAATCACAATCATGCAAAGAATTCAATACAAAACGATCCTCATTGACGGCATTTATGAATGCGGTGTACTACAAAAACGGATAATAATGAGCGACATTCCTATATACTTGTTCTTATAAATATTGTAAGGTGTATTGTCTAAATAACAAATAATAAAATAAAGTATAAAAGAATCTGATATTTCAGGTACATAACTATCAAATTATCATAGTTTTATTTGTTTTTCGTAAATGTAAACATTTGAAAGACCTTCGTGTATAATCCAGTTATTGTTACTACTGTATATATTGTTTGTTATATATATGTATATTCTTAGTATAACTCAAGTTTCTGAAACAGAGTACTAAAATATCCCAGTACAACAGTTTAGTTTACAATATTCTAGTTTATAGTGCAGTTGTTTCACTACCTACCTGCGTCATAGTTAACGTTGAAACTGATACGAATTCCTGAATCATCTTATTCTCATCAAAGCAAGTATTAAAAATCTTTCCCATCCTAGAAACTGTAACTAAAATATACTATTCAGAATTACTTGGTCAGAATTGAGGTTCAAAAACTACAGTTATGGAAATTTTTCGACATTAACTGTTGCTGTTTACAGCCTCTAAGTAAATTTACATATATTGAGAATATCATATTTGTATAATTTCATATTGCTATTTCATACTCTCGTCTGGTTATGAGAAAACTAAAAAATTATTTCATATTCAAGGTGATAGATGTTTATTATACTCAGAGGAGTTTTATCTGTGATTAAACAAATTTAATGTCCTTTAAGTTTAACCATATATTGGTTTAAATTTCAGTTTTTGAATGTTGTGTTTTTTTAAAATTAATCTTTATTTTTCTTAAGCTACAAGTATTTGAAATATGTACTTTGTATACATTATTAATAGTCATACAAGCTGTTATTTGCGTTTTAATTATATCATATAATAAATTAACGCTTTAAATTGTATGGTTAATACAAACTGTAAGATAAATTGAAAAAGTCTGCTATAGTATGTAATAACTTCCATAGTTCTGAAGGTTAATAGTTGTTAAAATGATGTAGCGGACTTGTAGTCTGCTTGCCTTGGGCGTGTTCGGGAACAACTGATAAGGAGATAGGAGTACATACGGGGATATTATATGTAATAATTATAAAAATAAAATTCTATTCTAAGTCTAAGAATATTTATTATATACTTAAGAACAACTATATTTTTGCTAAAAATTAAGTCTACTTCAGTCGCATGTTATACCATATAAACACTCGTACACTAATAATAAAATCACAAAAATAAGATCCAAATTTTTTGGAATGTACTTTGTCGCTACGTACGACGAGATGCAGGAACACTCATTACATAACATATTTATATACAGTTCGTCCACATTATTTACAACTAGAATAAATCAGCTTTCAACACTGATTTAAGTTTTGGCCTTCAACAAATATCATTCAGAGATGATTTACATACATTTAAAGTCATCTCTATTGCGAAATAACATCACATGTCTAACACGATTATTTTATAAATCACGTCGACAGATTTCAATGTTTATTTGTTTAATATCAGTGGTATCATGATTCAGAGATTTCTTTTTTTATAGGCTCTGATTCAGTTTTACCGATGTTCACATGAATCGTTATCGCCTCGTCGTTTTCTGACTTCAGTATCACGTCGTTCCATTGGACCTCAGCTTTCTTGCTGTAAGCCTCGTTCTCGATGAGAATTGCTGTTTTGGTACACAAAGCCTTACTCTGGAACTCGATGACTGCACAGTAATCGCTCTTCTTAGATTCAGACTTGACATCAGCTATGTAGCCGAGTTTCCGTCTCATGACCTCCACTTTCACGTGGTAATTGTATATGCATACTTTGATGATGAAAGCGCTCTTCTGGTAGAGCAAAATGATTTTATATTTAGTTCTACAGCACGCGGTTTTCTTGAGTTTGGTTTGGAAGTTTTCTATTAATATTTTTATTTTCTGCGAATAGACTGCTATTATATTGTGGTTGGCCTGAAGGTGGGCGGATAGTTCTTCGAAGGGGACGGTGCAGCATGTCGCTGTGATGGGGCAGATCATGGTGTCATGTTTGCACTCCTCTTCGTGTTTTACTCTGGTACTAGATGTCAAAAGTTCCGTGCAACCTCGTCTGCAACAATATTAACAGAATTAGCAATGAGAAATGAGTTCAATACCAACCACAAAGGTTAAATTCAAAATGCAATATCTTGAAGTATATATGCATATGCGATTCAACATTAGAATCATTTTTAAGAATCACTATTTTGGTTTTTATTTTTTTTTTTGTAATTTAATTAAACTAAGAAATGTAAAATAAATTAAAGTAAATTTTATGAAAGTCTTATGTTTTGAATAAAACTAATATATTGTCTGTGGTAGAATATTGACAAGTGGGCCAACTCCTAATGTCTATTTTACGAAGAGTAAATCACGTTCCATCGAGAGCAATCAAGGCTAAACCCTAGGACTAGAACGATAATTTACAGCCGGCTACCGGGCCGTCCTCTGAGAATAGACGTGTTTCAGAGACAGTGATACGTGACAGACGGACGGACATTTCAGGAAACTCTATAAATCAGATATAAGTGGTATTATGTGGTACATTACGATTAACGCACTTTCAATACAGTTTTTCTTACAATTTCTCTTTGGACGTCACCTGACCCTACTTTCTCCTTTGACATAATTTGTATGGTAAATTTCAAAGAAAATTTCAACGCTAAATAGTTCGCAAAACACATTAATAACGTAGCTTTTAAAACAACCAACAGAAACACATATATAATGAAATAGTTGTATGGCGATTTTTATTAGTCTTACATTTTATTTGATTGTAACCAATACAGATCGTGAGAATTTTATTGGTCCATCTAAAATCTGACCTTGGTTTTCGTCAATCGTTTATAGCAAATTTACGACTATCGAACCGGACAAATTAAAGTTTATCTGAAGGTTTGATTAAATACACTATTATAAATAAAATAACCGAAGACCCTTCTTGGATTATTTGTACTATATCGTGTGTAGGTTTGTCGTATTATCCATTGTAAATGTTGACTTGGGTAGTTGTTATAGTGCGAAGTTTTCCTAACTTGTTTGCTTTCTGCACGTCTTAATTTGTTTTAAAACAACTCCGTCAATGTCAAACCCTTAGCATAATAAAGGTAAACCAACTGGGCGCTGTAATATTTATTTTATATGCATCTTAATGTATGATATTGAAATAATATCTGCATACTTAACAAACATTATTGTTATTCTGATACATTTTTTTTTATTAATATCATTGTTTTTTTATATAGTGTTTTATTAATATTTTTATGTTTTATCATATCATTGAAACTAGTCATCTAAAACAGCGCGTCGTCCTAATTTAAATGGTTCTTATCAAAGGAGGAAACATAAAACAAAACTGGTTTTCTACGATTTCTTTGTTTATTTCTATTATTTATTTAATTAAACCAATGTAGAATAAAGCCCTTTATTTAATTATTATATAACATAAGTGTTACACATTTATGTCAATTTCATGTTCATTACAGTATATCCGTAATTAAAATTAAACGAAACTATCTAAGGTAATGATAATAATAATTATTAAGATTATTATAAATAAAGTAACTTTGTGTTACGTTTTTCATTTAAATAAAACAAAAATTTTCATATTATTTCGCGTTTTATATCATTTCAAAACTATCATTATTACGGTTGCTGCAAAGGTTAACCGAAACATCGGTAGTAGGTATATAATTTGTATACTCGTGAAAGTATTAGATTTGTATAATTTTGATAGTAAGGAAAGTAATTGAAATAATACAGATCATAACAAGCTCCTACACCGTGAAGGAAAACATCGTGAGGAAACCTGGACTTATAGTTTCACAATTATAAGTTTGAAATCACCAACCCGTCTTGAGCAAGCGTGGTCATTAATACTCAAAACGTCTCCATGTGAGAAAGAGGCCTTGCTCAGCAGTGGGCGTTGATAGGCTGATGACATGACATAACAAGCTCACCTGTAATTCCTGCACGGTAGCATCAGATCGTTGATGAGGCGTTGTAGCGCGAGGCAGGGGGTCGCTGGTGTTCTGAGATTGCTCCGACACCACGCACACCTTGACATACGTCTGGAACACCTCACACACCACACTCCTCCGCACCAGGGACAGACGCACGGACCGCAGCACTGGGAAAATGTTCTCATTACAAACAAATACATATAAACATACTCATCGCAGAAATATTACATTCACCTCTACCCTAGGAAATAATAGATGACTCGAAAATACCATGCCTCGTGAATACATTATGGAACCGCAGTATAGTGCCTCATATCAATTTTATTACCAATTCACTAATGAAATGTTTCACGCGCTATACAGATATGGCAGGTGGATAAGGTTACAATTTATTTTCATAATTATAAATCAATTTAAATTATCAGATGTAATATTCCTCGCCTCCGTTTGATTTTGTCTAATTAATTGCTTGGAACGGTTCGATTGGAAATTGAAATTTTACTGAATATTACGTGGAATGAGTGTTATAAGGCTTAACCACTATTATATTTGCGTTAGGTTACAATAATTTATTATTGCTATTTGAAATTATATGTTGATTTATTTCGATGCTATGTAGTACCTATCTTTAACGGCTGTAAATAAATTGCTGGCATAATAAGGAGATCGAATCCTGAAGCGTAAATTAAATGATGCGTATCAGTAAGCTGTACATTTACCTGAACGTATTTCAGACTCTACATATGATTTCTTTCGAAAATAATTGTTAGTAAAAATTATAAACAAATCTGGCACACAATAATACAAATGTAACTGTTATAGTGTGTAATAAACATGAGTTATTCAGAATACAAATAAAAGAATAGACGCATAGAAAATTTTGCTTTCATTTGAAGCCTTTTAGTTCGTTCTGGAAACTTGTACCACTTACTATCATAATTCAACTTCGGTTAACGTAATAAGTTCGTTGAGCATCGTTTAAACAAGGTGCGGGCTGTATACAGCTAATATGACAAAGAGTTTGAAAACGGGGAACAATGAAATATTGAAGTGGTGAGCATTGTCCTCTTATTTATACACGATAAGGACCAAGGTTCTTTTATATGACTACGTGGAAATGTTTAATTTGGAATAATGACTTTAGACTTCAAACGTTTTCAAGAAGGGTTACCGTTATATTTAGAAGAAAACTTTAAATTAATTTATTTAGCGGCTAAGATTCGCTTCAACAAACCCGTAGATTGTTATTCGAGTGTAATATACATTTTAATAACGTTTACTAACACCTGTTATAACGCCGGCCTTGAGATATTTACGCTGTGAACTACATGGAGTAATACCGTCGCTTACATTTTACATTTTGTCGTATGATAATTTTAAAAAATTAAATTTATATCGCTTCAAATGGCATTTTAAAGACAAATAAACTGGGGCATCGCATGACTTTAAAGGAAATTTTAAAAGTTTGTAAATTACAGTTGCCGTTTAAAAAACATCATCAAAATATCAATTGAATTTGCAGGTCAAAGTAAATTTCTAGCTACAAAAGGGAACTCGGAGCTGTACAACTCATTCCCTATGAGCTCGTGAAATTTTTCATCTTAAAACTCATCCAACCGTTAATCGCGACATATGCAGTTTTGCAAAATAGCTATATGCTTCTAAAGATTTATTTACTCGTGTCCACTATTTTGTACATGAGAATTAAGTAGATCAGAAAAAGAGAGATACATACATAGAAACTACAGAGGTACTATCGCATTTACGACAGAGCGGATTATATAATGTGCATAAAAAGTTTATCAAAGTGTTTTTTTCTTCTATTACATGTCGTTATAACTGTTACATTATATGGACGTGTTGGTTTACAAGTGTTCAAGACGTCTCTCGTCGCGAACACGAATAAAGTAATTCTGTTAATCTTTTAGTGGGTGATGAAACATGGCTTATCATATGCGTATTCTTATATTAGACAAAACGTCGACCTTTGCGTCTCTTAAGGTATTTTATAATAGTCATAGCATACGAATACGTAAATGTTAATGCAAACTTCCTATTAATAGGGAAGGATTCGTAGTATTTGTATTGTGATCAAATTTAAATAAATATTGTTATTAGTTTGCAAGGCTGATAAGTCTGATGACTCAGTTTTACCTGTAAAGGTTCTAGACAAATGCTGCATTCTGAGAATCTGGATAGAACTTCGTCACAGTTGGGGCATGAACACTGGGCTGAATGTCCCTCGGAGTCTACTGGATCTAAGGGTGTGCCTACTATCGGTAGAGACTTGTCTGTAAACAAACAAACCATATATTATACACAAACACATAAAACTATAAAATTTATAGATCTTTATTTTCCTTATCATTTCATCTATCTTAAGTATCATAAATAACTTCTATTATTTTGTTGTTTTATGTAAGAATATAATATTATTGTGATCTAATAATATATACTTTATCAGTGTTACAAGTGTTCTGTGAATATAACGTGATACAGATGATAGAGCCACTCGAACTAGGTATAAGTCGCAGATTGTACTGTTTTTACCTTCTATTTTATTATGACTCATTAAGAACTGACGAAAGTGTAAAGAATATTTCTATTGAAACTTAAATATACTAACGAAGTTAATGATTGACTTTTCCAGCGAATGAAGCAAAACTGTCACCAAGTAAGCTGATATTGTTGAGATAAGTGACCGATATACGTTCATATTCGAAGGTTATACACAACATGTGTATCTAGTTGAATATAATGTCCCAAATTAGAATGACGTTTACATCTAAGAGTATTCAGCCTAATCTGTTTTTGAGGTCTTGCTTATGTTTAAAATGCCTCTTTATTGTATGTTTAGATAAAATGAAGTACCGCTTTGTTAAACAACAACAAACAGGACTGAATCCACTTCGTCCGGGAAAGAATTGTATAAACAAAAGAATGATATGCTTTGAAAATTGCTTCGATAATTTTATATTCTGCTTCATAAAAGAAAATTATATACTAAGATTTAAAATGTACATTGAGGCCTGTGTATTCATATATATACGTATAGCTAGAAGTGACAGTCTCTTAGTGATTATCAATTCCTATATATTCTCGAATACACATTCAAAACTGGTATAACGTAAAACATTTATAAAAGCTCAAATGATTGTTATGGTATCCCCTCGGGATAGTATTGGATATTGAAGGGTGACATGCCGATGTCATTTTTACCAGAAATATTAGGGATCGTTACAAACAATGGTAAATAAAATAAACTCAGTTGAAATATAAAATTGTTCATATGAATGTTAGAAAATAACACATAAAAAACATAATGTTTTGTATTTACAATTAATCTGAATTGAATTTATCTCATATTAAGTAGATACGTAATTGATAGTGATTATGTCCTTAAAAATTCCAAAACATTTCCCTTGGGTTTCGTTTACAATAACGGTCGTATGCGTCTAAATGTCAAAAGTGTATCATAAAGACGCACGTATGCACGAAATGTTTTGTAGTGTATGTTTTAATATTATTTAAAGTTCAATGTCGCAAGAGTACAATAAGTACGTAATCAATTACATAAGCGGTAAGTGTGCCGAGAGAAAGGTCTCGAGGTTGTCTGGCGAATCGACTGCAGCTCCGATAATATGTACCTTATGCTATCAGTACTTACACTAGTGTTTAATAACCATTAAGACTTTATTAAGCATGGTGGAGTTCGACCTTCAGGGATGTACTAATTTTATAAGAGATTTGAACTCAAATATACAATAATGAAAATCGTTGAAGAAATATCTATGCGAGCAAAGTATTATGGAGAAAAACACCTTTGCTTACAAAGTGAGAGGAAATTATATGTTGTAATAAAATTAATTCTTATTGTGTTTGTTATGAATTATATGTACTGATTGTATTTTAATTGAAATACTATAATAATCTTTATCTACCAACAACTGGAATTATAGCCACAGCACACAAAAATATACGATACATTTATGTCAATTAAATCTGACATGGAACACGGTGAATAAAATACGGTATTCGTTTTGTTTGCTTAAAATAACACGAAATATTAAAATTATCATTGTAATTATTCAGTTCTAGATCTCATTTAATGTTAGTACTTGGTTCTTGCGAAATATTAATGACCGCTGGTGTTATCTTATCCACTCTGCAGTCAATTATTTTTTTATTTTATTTAAATCGATTTATCAATCGGTCAATCGTAAGCTTCAAATCACTCTATCGATCACGTTTCCCGCTTTTTAGCTCAAATTCATAAACTTTGACAAAAGAGATTATTGTGAAATCTAAGAACATATTTTTTATTAACATCGCAATTGAATGGTTTTTGTCAGATCCAATATCTAAATTTAGTAAAAAGCGACAAAGATTGGAAATATCTATTGTCATGTCAAATTTCAGTTAATAACCATGTCGCAAGATTAGTAACTAATATAGAATTAAAAACAACTTAATGTATAAAAAATAATATGAGAATCAGACGGCATTGACAAAAACAAGGTCTTATATCTGCGTGATTGACCTTGGTGTATGTAGGATCACTGTACATAAACGAAACATTTAACTGACGCTTCAACGTTAAATTTGAGGTCGAAATTATCTTTTATTTATAATTAATTTAATAATATTATATTTCTTATCCAAAAAAATGTAGTGTCAAAATCATATAAAAGTTGTTTTTTTTTTCAAATGGTTTTAACATCAAAAATTGCAGTAACACTTCAAATATATTTTTATGAAATACCTCATGTTCTGTATTTTTTGCTAAAGCATTATCATAAAACAAAAACAGTTAAATATATTATTTATAATAATCTGTTACAAGGTCTTTGTGTTTAAAAAATTGAATACGTCTCTAAAATGCTATCGTACATTAAATTAAACCTTACTAATATTTGTTTCAAAAACTAATATACGAATACTTTACATGACATTAATAATATTTTCTTTTACTGATATATAATCTTGATGTTTTAAATGTGGGCGTCTTTGTATTGGTGACGTATTCAGGTATAATTTTTACGCCATAATCATATGATTCACCGTACAGTCCCATCGAGTGACGTCATTAGCGCTTATGACGTGTAGTAAGGCATGCACTGTACTGTTTGATTCCTTATTAGATTGTATGTCAGACAATAGCTTTCCTTAAATTTTATTCTGAGAAATATTACTTGGAATGTATTTAAATGTAATCTATTTAACTAACAAATTTCAAGGTTAAATTTTTATTTTTTAGTTGTATATGAATTAAAATTAAAAATTATTGCATAAAAATGTCCATAGTGGATATGTATGTACATGAATTAATTGCTACTATAATTTCAAATTTAAAAATCGTAATATAAATGACAATACTTTAAGAATTGATCTCGGAACACTTGATTGTTGAAACGTACTTAGTGTAGTAAGCCATGAGTACAACACTTCCTTAAACATCTTATGCAATAAGTATGAAATATTTTTTATCTATATACGTTGTAGCAATGTATATTCATTTCGTCACAAAAAATTGTTATGGTTTTAAATCTAAATAATTACATGTTAATTATTTCACAGGCGGAGTAATGACCTAATATAATAATATTGTTATATAACATTTGTAATTGCCATGTTAAAGAATAGAAGCTTTAAACATATTTCTAGAAACTAACAGCTTCTTAGGGGATTAATTAGTAAAAAATATTTACACAACTTAGATTTTTAAATTAGAATAATTATACATAAAATTTGTTTGATTTTGCAATCACTAAATATAGAACTATATTTTTCTTTTTTATTTGTATATAGTACAAAACGATAACTAAGTAGTTTTAATTCTTTTATACAAATCAAATCATTGAAAATCTGCTCCTCTGTCACTCCCGGAAGCCTCTACCTATGTACGTGTGTATGTATATCACTACTATATAAGTCCAACACGTCACGAGCTGCCTAGTTCACATACTATATAAGAAGTAAGCTAGTTATTTCTTCTGCTGCTATGCAATTAATTGCATATCCAACAAAGAACAGGTATTTGTTCCTTTGTTTATTGATAGCGTGATGAGACACTGTTAACTTATAATGTACAGTTTTCATTTCATTGTTTCGTTTGATATTTCTTTTATTGCTTATATAAAATATTGAATTGTAGAATTAATGTTAAGTTAATTTCAATTATGCGTTCGTTATGATAAGATTCATAATTGTTTAATTATTATTTATTACACAAATAATGTATGAGATCAACAAGTATAATTTTCAAATTCTTTGTTTACATACGATATGTTAATACTAATTAAGATAAATGGTTTATAAAACTCGTTTTTATATTATTTGTGACATCGTTCAGTGCCCTTGGATCGTTGAAGGTCAAACGCTAGTTTACATTTATATCTTCAAGTATCGAGTGGAAGTGACTGTTTGTTTGTATGGAGTAAGTTTGGAACAATGCTACTTTACTTGGGTTACATACTCTACTTTAAAACAAACTTTACCACAAATTTTGATTGTCACATTAAATACAGATTTTTAAAGTTTCGTTCATAAATGTTCGCATGTAATGTGATATATCAAGAAAATTCTGGACACTGGAGTATAACTGAATTATATACATAGGTACAGTTTACATTATGGCTGCAGGATCAATCATTTAATAATAACGAATACTGGGTTTTGAGTCAAAAAATCTTAGTTATATTTACGTCCTGCTTAAGTTACTTCTTAATATTATTTTTAGTAAATATTTATTTTCAAACCAGTTCAAAGCAGAGTCTATGTCCAGAAAATACGGAAAAAATTGGTAAAATCGCATTTACTTCTATATATCTAAGTCGTATATAGATAACGTTCTCAGAGGTTTTGTTATAAATTTTGTTTAATTTGACTTCATCTAACGTTGTATATAAATGTTTTTATTAAATTCTGAATTAATTTTAAACTGGCCCCAAGACGAATTTGCATACTTTTTATGTTAAGTTCTCGAACATTCTTAATTTAACAGAATTTTTTTTAAAAACTTTAAGTATTGAATTTGGTTGTCAACATTTACTCTTTAAAAGTGTACCATTATAATCAATTGAAATCAACATTAAATAATTACATTATAATTTATCACGTTTATAAATAAACTATCATTTCTGACATTATTCTTAAAGCCCTATCAATCATGATCCACTTTTACAACCAAGTATTAGATGGGCGGTAAACATGAAGCAAAAATAAGAGATATGACATTTAATCCTTTATCCGAACTAAATTCACTGTAAACATAGTTATTTCCTCGGACTCAAAATGGATTTTTTATGTTTATCTTATACTAGCTTTCCGCCCGCAGCTGACCGGGTGGAGTTCGGTTATATCGCGTTTCCAAGAGAACCTTTCAAAAGTCTGGGATAAAAACTATCCTATGTTCTTTCTCAAGGTCAACTCTATCTCTCTACCAAATTTCATTAAAATCAGTTCAGTGGTTTAGGCGTGAAAGCGTAACAAACAGGCAGACAGACAACATACAGAAAGGCAGACAGAGTTACTTTCGCATTTATAATATTAGTAGGGATTCTCTAATAATTAATAGTTCACCTTCTATATCAACGTTCTCCCCTCCAGAAGATTCCGATGCGTCATCTTCTATCTTCTTTTCTGTGACGATAGTCATGCTGTTCTCACCGTCGTGATGCTGAGATCGTTTCTCCGTTACGGAGTGAAACTGTAACAGAAATCAAATGGATTTTATATAAAAATATAAAAAAAATAAGATGCTTCTATTAGTAAGTAGTGCACTTCTTGTAAATTTGTAGCCTAATTTGTTTTTGTGTGTATATTGAAAATTGCTTTCAAATTTAATTTTGTAGGTTTCTATGCCCCTTCACTTATAAAAAGATTAAAAAATAACTCAGTGAATCTACTTTTATATTTTTTTATGAAAACATATTAAATAAAACACTTTTCGTAAAATATCATCGGATAAAAATATACGCATTAATAATAAATTATTTTATGATTCCACGATTTATTTTCTTTAGAATCAACGCGTCTGGCTTCAATGATATAAATGTAATCTGGTCAATATCAATGTGTGTTTAGGAAAATTGATTCGTTTTCACAAACATTATGTACAAATAGACATAACGGCTAACACATAATTTGATGTTAGGAACGCTTAATGTAAATAATGTGATCATGAGAACAAACTGTAAAAAATATTTTTTAATGTTTGAACAACGGCTTAATATTGCAATATTACCTTCTGTATATTTTCGTGTTACTCATTTAAATTATACTTATATTTAGGTTATTTGATCTTAAAAATATATAGAAATGAGAAAATTTCAATATTGGATACAAGTATCAATATAGTAAGGGGATTGAATATAATTAACATAACCAGTGCAATAGTAATATTTTGCATCATTTACAGGTTATGTATGTTACGTGTTAAGAATATAAGGATAGAACTACACGGACAACAACTAAAAGAGGTCAATATATTTTTACGTCTTTAAATAAAAATTAGAATAAAAATCTTAATACCCATCACTATAACACAATGATATTTTAAGTTACGGTTTTACTATACTTTAAAATAATTTTGGTTTTGATTGATAGAAAAAAGTCGTGGTTTCATAGTACTACCAATACAAACAAAAAACCCTACGTATTAATTTAACTAGCTACAGAAAACATAAAGTAGGCTACAATGGTTATATTTTTCTTTATTTGGTTAAGTGAGCATCACCTACATATCTCATCTTTTGTAACAAATCAAATGTCATATTTTGCCTTTCACATTTTGTTATTAGGGCTTTAACTTCACAAATATATGTACCTATGTAGTTACATATTATATGTACCTATATATATTTTCAAGCAAATCGAATAGTTTATTTAAAAAAAAATGCATATTTTAAATGATATTATTGGCATGATAGATTTTTTACAAGCCACTTGTGTAAGAAATGTAAGCGGATTACGAACTCATTTAGTATTAATTTATACAAAATCATTGTTATGCCTTATCTTTATAAGAAACAAAGATTCACTAAGAAATTTTTATTGCCATTGTGTATTTTACTAAAGCTTGTAACATGTATACCATATTATACATTGCAAAATTCTCAGTTCTGATTAAAAAAATTGATAACGCAATATCACTGAAAACTGACCATCAGTTGGACATTTGTCTTCTAAGACAAATAAATAGTAAAACTTCTACAAGTTAACAATAGCTAGCTATATAATTTAATTAGATATCAGAACAAAGAACAAACTTTAACAGCAAATGCTGAGTTGCCAAGGTTTATTGTTTGATGTTAATTATGAAATAATAACTAAAGTCAGTGCAGTAGTCCGACTGCAGTATACTGACCGCAACAAACACTGACCATTTACGTAGAACTTAACACGAATACAATATATTTAATTAGTATTTCTTATAATATTATCATTCCTAATTTTAAAGCATAGCATTCACTGTGTAACAATAACTTTATTTTGCAATATTGAAGGAAATGACAGTTGAGTAAGTCGTCGAACGCCATTTGCAACGTTTTTCACTGTTGGATATCTTGTTATACAAGACTCGGAGCCAGAGATAGTCTTATTGTTTACGTAAACATTACTACAGATAATACATTTCATACTACGAACTACATTTACTGTAGTTTTGTCATGGGCAAATAAACTGTGAACTTATTTCCATCTTAATTGCACTCTTTCTTATAAACCATCTTTCATATTTAATTATAATGTGTATTTTCATGTTTGTTTTTTCCTAAACGAGATATTGGCCGAGCATACAAAGCATAACCATGAACCCTTTTGCATTAATAGAATGATTTCCACACAAGACTACACATATTGATGATAAAAGACTAAGATCAGTTCAGTTTGATAGAGTTGAAACAATAGAATGGGGGCTGAAATATTTAAGTAGATTAACAAAATTAACATTTAAGGAACTTAGTAATAGATTTTCAGTTTTGTATAATTTTAAGATTTTCATTTACAAATTTCAAAGATAAGAGGTTTAATTTTTTAATATTTTTAAATATATTAGTATTGAATATAAAATATTAATCTTTTTTTTAAATATAAAAGTTTGAAGTAGATTCATAAATCGATATTTATAAAAATATAAATGTATAAACAACATGAGTATCTTAATTTATTATTAATTTGTTTGTATATGTATAATTTCGGCGTGTTGACAGACCATTAGATACTAGCGGCCGGTCGTTGGCCGGTCGTCATTAGGTAATGGAGAGTACGGTGCTAGAAGCTATTAGTCGTATTAGGGATATATCACGCTGTCTACTTATTACACACATACATACATATATTCCTTATAATGTAAATATGTTATACATTCACTAACATAACTTGCCATAATTATTTAAATTTCTACCATAATATAGTATACAAGAAAGCTTGTTTTGTCTTACATATAAAGACCAATGAGTATGAATAGTAAATAGAAAATATATTATTTTAATCTTGATGGATTAAAATAATAATGTAATGTACAGTTATGTGAAATACGTACGTTAGAACTCGTGTTCTTCATATCATGGAACGTGCTTTACCATTATGAATTTGCAAATATTGCTTTAAACGATCATTCAATTTTATTTATTTTATATAGTATCAGTTTCTCAATGCATGTTAGACTTAAGAAGTTACATTAAGATCTTAACAGTTTTGATTTTCCAACTTGTATATACAAAATTATAAAATTAATTTAATAAAATTATTATTCTCTCACCGTTCGTTGGAATAAGATCAACTTTGATTCCCGTCTCAGACTTTTATAGGCAGTGAAAGCATATTCTTTCCCATTCTGATTACATATAATGTGTCTACGCATCTTGATAATATTCAAAATCCACTACCATCTAAAATCGTTCACAGTCACTAATATTATTTCTATTTCGGTGACACTTCTAACAAAAACGGCACAGTTCTTTTTCAATTTCAAGCACGACTAACCGTGAGGCGGTTCAGATTTGAACTAATAGCTATTTAACAATTAAAGATTTAAAAAATAAAACGCCCATTGTGTTAAAGACAAAGAGTTTATTCGGTCTGCACGTACCACGGAAAATTAGGTGCTGACATCCTTCAAGTATTCTCATGAATACGTGAGTGTGGTTCATGTTCTTACTGGTACTGGTATAACTGGTATTGTTGTGTATTACTTGAGATTTGACTGATACGCCTTTTCATGGGAAATTTGCTTTGCTATCCGTAGTATTTTACATATATCGTAAGTATAGACAATAGCAGTTATGTTTACGAATCTCGTAATTAAATTAAGGTACCGTACAGACGAAGAAAACGATGGTCCGAACATTTATTCAATTTAAATAAATTAATGACACTTGTGAACTATAGATGTTTTAAACAATAATTTTATTTTGACACATTAGCTACGGCTTAAGAAAGTAATGTTTTCACATAACAGTGATTAAGATAAGCCTTTATCTTGATGTATCAATATGTAGGTCAGAATAATTTGACTGATAACTTATAAACTGGATGTGTGTCAAGTAACCTTGTTGCATTCATTGTCTTACAATTATCTAAGATAAACATTCATTATATCGTTTTATTGTTTCCTATATATATTTTATAAATAATATTGATACAGAATAAAGACATTGTTTTCATTAAAACAAAAATATAATTTACGACATGTATTAGGTAGTACTATCAAGATAAAACAAACGTGTGTTTAATAACTTTTGCTATTAATTGAATACGTAATTGTAACAAGACTCGTTAGTTGTTATTACTACAGACCGAAGTTCCAGCGGCAGTTTTTTATATTGATTTTATATAGAAGATTTATTTAAGACGTATTTTTATCCGTAATATTTTTTATCTCATTTGAAGATTTAATATGACAAAACACATTTCACGATTATCATCTGAAGATTCCGCTATCTCTCATCTTCATCGGCTCATTTTCAGCACATCACGATGATAACGTTTATGTGGGTTAAGTGATAAAGACTCAACAACGCATATAGAATATATATTTGGGATAGTCCTCTATTTTACATTATGATAAGATTTATCTGATGTTTTCGGCGAACTCTCTGAACTGTACCGTCAGCAGTTACAATATACAATATACATTTTTTATCATTATAAAATAATATTTAGCTTTATTACAGTTTTCTACACACAATGTTTTCTTACATATGTAAGTCGTAAACTCCAAAGTGATTCATACAATGTTAAAATGGCACACTAAAGGGATGTTACAGCGGTAGACACACAATCCTATAAGATGCAGACAAAGTATTTCGGGAGATGTGATTCATGGAGCTATGATTCATGTTCTGCTTGCATACCATACGGGAATTTCGTTCAGTAATTAAGGAATAATATGTATGCTTCTGTTTGAAAACATCATTATCAGCGTACCTAGTAATAACGAAGGAGAGGTTATAAAATATTACTATAGTATTTATTACGTTGCGTAACATTATTTCATAAAATGTACAAAATTTACTTCCTTAGCGGAAACATTATATGTTATTCTCATGTATTATCATGATAATTATGAACAAACCAATCTTTATATGGCTGGGCCTTTATTATTGAAATCGTCAAGGTAAACGACGTGTCGTGTCGCTTGAATATTAAGTCTCAAAAGTTGCTTTGTATTAAGCTGCATGTACGTTTGTTTTGATTACAGTTATCCGAAAATATTTATCATGAACATATAAAATTTTAGTGTTTGTAATATTTACAGTTGCCTCTTATAGTATAGATGTCTGTATATTATTATTTCTTACGCAGTAACTCCCAACCAGCTGGTCTACAGGATGTTCTTAATTGCTCCAGCCAGTCGGGTCCGCCTCACACATGTCTCACAAAAAACACTATGTATAAGGCTTCGTGGGTTTTATTTTGATGTTTGTTTGTTGCTCGGTTAGGTTTCATGTACTTGTTTCGATGCACGGTAATTCTTTATAATTATCCATATATCCTTCGATTGTAGGCTTCGGTATTTTACACCGCTTAAATGATATAGATATTTTTTTGGTCTTAAAACTCACCGGAGCTTTTATAGCCTTAAAATAAATACAGTTAGTCGGAGTCCTTTAAGCGTGTTAAGCAAAAAACTTGTACTTCCATTATAAAGAGTATATTTGTTTGAAATTTTATACGGTACCTCTTCTTTTTTGTTATAAGTTTATTTATTGGTTATATTTTTCTTTCTTAATTATTACAAATAACTGTATAGTAAATAATAATAATAAATAATTAAATAAAAATTTGGTTTCACTTCTAGAAATTTGTGTACAATTTGTTATCTTATTTAGTTATATTTTATTTTCAATGAAATTTTAAGAGAAATATTTGTTATATTTTTATAATATATAATTTTACTTCTAAAATTTTTAACTATATATTATACATTATGCATTGCATTATAATATTGTATATTTTTTACATTCATTAATTACAATCATTTCTTGAGTACATTGTCATTTATCTGAGTGCCACGTTTTAAGCCGCCATGAACCCTCGCACTTATTAAATTGGCTGGTGTGAGATTGAAGTGTTTTTTTTTTACGGAATTCATTTTTAAATTACTAAATTCGCGAAACTGTGAAAAATGTCATTCAGAAAAAAAATGCGTCATTTGAGTTTAAAATGTCTCAAGGTGACGTCGAGGGAAAGTTAATTACCGAAGGTTTTGTCGTGACGTACGGAATAGAAAATCATTCTGAGATAAAATGTCAAAAAAAGTGACTTACATTTACGGGTAATAATAAAGGGAAATGTAGTTTTGTCTCCCGTGGGAGTATGGGTTCGTTTTGATGTGAGCCCAGATCGGGGGCGTAATAGGATATCCTATAGTAATACAACTTCATAGGAATTCATGGTGAAATGGATCTGGTAGGAAGCGGTTGAACACATCCTGTCTGAGAATAAGACAATTAAATGTACTTCCATATCTTTTTTAAAATACACTTATTTGATTTAAATCAATAAAGAACTCATCAGAGAATCTGAATTCATTGATTTAAATGGATAGAATTTTATTCACATACCAGCGGTTAACGTTCAGTATATAAATTTAAGTAATGATTAAGCCAATTTTAAAAGTACAAATTTATTCAGCTAACACATTTTATTTGAGCTCTGAAAATTATTTCATGTCATGTCATTTATTGTCTGTAAATTATAATGTAATAAAGTCCCGATGACAGGGAAATATCCGGTACATATTAAGATTTATGTAAGTAAATGAAAAAATCGTTAGATTTGATAAAAAAATATATAACGCTAACATATGCGGATACTGACTTGTTTAAATTAATAATACTTTTTAATGAATTTTCATTAATAACGCTTTATTTTATGATGTTTATTCTATATTTCCTATATTTTATTTATTGTTGTGATTTTTATTAGGCAATATTTTTAACGTTTTATTGAAGTTTCGATTGAAGATGACACGTTATATATCAATGAATCTTATGTAATAATATTTGATAGTTCTATTGGGTTCATACTCATATATTTTACATTGACGAAATGTTCGGATGTTGTTTATATTATATTTATTATTTGGCGGATTTTGATTTAAATATGTTCTTATTTTTCTTTACAATTTGATAATAAATACATTACAGACTCGTCTATCATTACCACTTCTGATGCTGCATTTTATTTAATTTGACATTGAAACCTATACTTACTTTTAATTTTCTACAAGCAACTCTGAACAAAGTGACCTAGTATAAAGTTCAAGGTATGATATTGTTTTAATGCGTTAACATTTTCCAAACGTTGTTATTGTAAAATAATGAAACATAAATCTCTTTAACAGACATATAAACAATACTTCATATATATTTATATCCTTAATGATTTCTAAAAATAGATATAAATAGTTTTATTACGTTTATTATCATTTTTAATGCGAAAATGTAGCAAAGTATGCCATTTATTATTTCTAAGAATTCTTTCATACCTGTTATATTCGAAGAATAAACAACTGCAATCCTATACAATAGTATAAAGGGATAATCCACAGTGTGACGAGTTGTTTATAAGAAGAGTAATTATGTAGCTCTTTCTTCTAAGTAAACGTAGTATAACTATGTCATAAAACTCTAGATATTGAATAGTTTTTAACTAAACATAGTTATCCGTTACGGATTACGGCAATAATGAGGAATTAAAAGTAATTTTAATTCACAGAAATGAGGATTAATTTGTACAAATTGGTAATGATCCCGGATAATGCTCGTACTTAATGACAGTAAATGATATTAACTATCCGAGACAATTTATTTTAACATTATTATTAAAAATCAAATATTAAATGCATATACATATATATATGTAACTTCAATTTTAATAAATCGAAGTAAAAAATTAACATCGGGAAATCCAGTAGATGTAATAACAAAAACAAAACATTAAAAACAGTTTGAAATAATGAATGAATTGTATAAGTGAAATTATGTTTCCTAAATTAATACTGATAACAAAACACAGTCCTAGTTATATCACAGTTATGATAATGAGTCAACGGCTTTCCTCGTTCAGTGTGTTTCATAGAAAACACTTAACTGTTACTCATCTCAGTATGATTTTATCTGATATTGTGATTTCTGAATTCCTTTGACTAATGCTTTAGTCATGTTGAATCATTAAGATAATTCCGAAAATTATATATTACACATATTTGCTTTTATTTAAGTTTTAATTTAAGGATAATAAATTTAAAAATTTAATGATGTATATTATGAATAAATATATTTTTTAACAGCAACGTAAACATATTTTATATACGAATTATTTAATATTATTTTAATTATTTCTTTAATTTAGTAG